AATCTATCCATATGTTCCAGTTATTCTGAGTCAGGTCAACAGCCTGAGCAGAGAGGAGACCCTGACTCATTTTTCCAGCCCCCTTTTCCAACTCTTTTTGTAGGATTCTAAAGCGTTCCAAGACCTAGTCTGTCCAGCGTGTCCCGGGTCTTCCCCTGTGTCTCCTCCCAGTTGGACATGTGTGGAGCACCTCCCTGAGGAGGCATCCTAACCAGATGAACCACCTCAACTGGCTCCTCTGGAGGAGCAGCGGCTCTACTCTGAGTCACCCTCGAACAATTTCTCAGCCTTCCTCTAATGCTAAGTTCAGGCCGAACAGGATTTCAGCGTCAGAGGTGTCAGGTTTACATGTGAAGTCTATTGTGGACACGCATCAAGGGGCGTTGGGAAGTGTTTTGGCGCATCTAAAGCGTCAGACGCTGGAGTTGGAAAATCTGAACTTGTACAGCTTGACGGGGCACGTCAGCTGATCAGAGTCTCTGCTCTGTGACGAAGCGGTGCATCGTCCAACAGGACTGTCTCCTGAATGATGTCCACCAACCTGCAGCAGATGGACAGGAGCTCTTCAGCTGAAATCGAGCGCCTGTGGTTGGTGTCCTGTTAGGACATGTGGGTCAGCAGCTCGTCACATAGGGCTGGTGAAACTCACCAAACTCAGAATGCCTCTGAATCTTCTGGTGAATCCAGACATGGTGCCGAGGCGTCTGACGACCACACGCTCTCAGCCACTCTCTCTTAAAATCATCCACCATTGTACAGAAACCGGCAGAGGAAAACAACCAAGAGGCTCCTCTTTTTACACTGCTTGATGCGAGACAGGGATTTTGACTCTCCACGTCAGAGAAGCCCAAACTGAGGCCTCATTTCATTTGTCCCACAAACAGTTGACATAATTAGGCTGTAACCTGTTGTCTTGTGTAGAAACAGTATTAACACTGAGTCATTTCATCCACTGGCCCAGTGACCATGTAAAAGGCCTGTAGTGCAGATAGTTTTCACTCATGGTGCAGACTTATCTTTGATATATTAAGATTAAACATGAAACATAAAATGCACGTAACAAGGTATATTTAGATTAGATTTAACCACACATGTAGAGTTGTACACTTTATAAGACCACAGAAACCCATATTTTATCAGTTTATGAAATGTCCCATGAGCTTTTGCTACTTACTTGAGACTTTCTCCAAGTGCACAGTCTGAAACAAAAGCAGGCCATCATACTGGCTGCTGGCTTAATCATTAAAATAAAGGACTTTAATTAAAAACTATTTGTATTTCATGTATTAAATGACTGCACTTGGCCCACAGCCCCGGATTGATTTTCATTTTGGCCCTTAGGGGAAAATGTTTGGGCAGCCCTGCTCTATCAACCCTCTGACCTCAAACTGTGTTGAACTCAAGGCGCTGGACGTTGTTTGATGAGCAAAACGTGTTGGTCTGAACACAGCATGAGGGAGGGATGCAGCTTGGATCTGCATCGTCACTACCCAGAGTTCATGTCTGAAGGTGAGCGTAGGAACGCAGACTGACCAGTAAACAGTTTTACCTTACAGCTCAGCTCCCTCTTCATCAGAACAGACCCATGCAGAGTCTGCAAAACTCATCTTCTATAATGGTGCTACTTTTTAAATTATTACAACAAAGCATGCCACGACGCTCCAGGTTGTAAACAGCAGAGAAACAGCTATGATGACGTGCTGAAAGTTCAATATGTGCCTGGGAAACACATAATATTGCCCCTTTGATGTCTCTCTGACCAAGGGGCTCGTGGTGGGTTTCATTAGAAGTGAGAAAAGCTCTGTTCATGGAAAAGAGGTCAAAATTACGAGTTTTTACAAATATCTAGGAACCACATTTGATTCCAAACTAAAATTTGATGTGAACACTGACTTCATTCTCAAGCGAGGTCAGCAAAGGATTCACCTGCTGAGGAAGTTCTTTTAACGTCCATAACGAAGTTTTATGTCATTTTTACGTCATTTACTGAAAGTATTTGAAATTTTCCTTTGTTTGTTGGTTTTGTGATCTATCTGTAAAAGATAAGAACAGCCTTAATCTGAGTCCTCCTCAAGGAGGTTCTATAGAACAGCTGGAGCTAGGAAACCAGGTGACCATGTGATCGACTGGAGAAGCTAACGGCTAACGCTAAACAGTCAAGAGTCTGGATTTCCAAATACTGTACATGTTGACAACAGAGCAGAAAAAAAGGACTGATGATGTAGAAATCATTAAAACTATTAATAAT